AAAACTCGAGAAGCAACAAACGCACTAGCGACTTCATTTTCAAAAATTGCTTTTGCGCCATTGCCCTGGGGCTGATCTCGAAGGGGCTGCACAAGGTCCGAAGCTGTTGGCTGCTTGGGCTTCCGACCGGGCTTACGCCAGTGGGGGCATTGTGCGCGAGTGAGGCCCTTGGGCCGTCCGCGACGATTTCTCTTCTTGATGGTGACGCCGTCTTTTTCCACTAACGTGTAGGGGTTGAGGTCGTCATCGATCAACTTTGAAACGTCCGGCGGCGCTACCTGGGGCGCAACTTGTGGGGCGACAGGAGCTGAGTTTCCTCTTTCCTGCGCGGGACCATCTGCGGGCGCCGCACCACGGCCGTCGCCGTCGGTGGGACTTCCGGCAGACTCGTTTTCTTTGTCTCCGCCCTGGGCCGTTTCCGGCGCCGGGGGGGGCGACTCCGTTTTTCTCCGTTTCGGAGCCGGCTCTTCAACCCCCTCAGAAGTTTGCTTCCAACGCTTTTCAACTTCCTCAAGCGCGGCGCGAAGGCGATCGGAATCACTTCTCACTGCTCCAGCGGAATCGTCGGCGTTTGGGGCTTGCCTCTGCGACGGTTCTTTATCCGGTTTCCGAAGGGCGTTGACGTTGGGCACTAGCGTGTCCTCGTCGAACTTGACCGACCGAGATTCGACTGTCGTCCATCTCTGGCCGCTCTTTGCGCGCGCATCATGGTGGAAAACACCTACCACGTACGAGCTTGACTCCCTGGAGTATCCGAGGAAGACTCCTTTCTCATAGCGGTCAACCAACTTCGTGCTCTCGGCTTTGTCGCTTGGAATGTGCTTGCGAACGTACGCAACGCACCCAAAGCGGCGAAGGTGTTTGACATCGGCCTGACGACCAAAACGCTTGTAGAAAGGGGCGGGGAACTTGGTTTTCCGCTGCACTCGGTTCTTGACATACGCAACGTAGCGCGCACACCAATCCCAGAGCCGGGGATCTACTCCTTGAAGGTTGGCCCGAAGACCGTCCCCAAGGGTTCTGTGCCAGCGCTCCACGTTCCCATTGCCTTGCGGCTCTCGTGGAACGCTGTGGCCAGCGACGCAATTGATTTCCCGACAGGCTTCTTTCCATGGTCCTTCCATGCCTTTCAACACGGGCTCATTGTCACAACGAGCGACCTTGGGGACCCCGACCTGTGTTGCAAAATCCCGAAGGACCTTACCGCATTGCGCTTTGTCTGCAATACCCCAAGGCTCGAGCCAGTCTGTGGCTGAGTCCCGGAGCGTAATGCAGATTGTGTTTCCATCCATGGAAGCGGGTAATCCTCCGGAGAAGAAATCCGTCTCAACTTGGTCCATCCACTCCTTGTGGAGATAGGTCGCGGGGCGGGCCTTTCGATGCTGTTGAGAACCATAGGACTTAGAAACAGCGCAATCAGGGCAGTGAACCTTGAAGCCTTGGACTCCTAAATGCCCAAGCCTTTGGTGTAACCGCAAGGCAGAGCAGGAGTTCTGGTTTCCAATCACGTTCGCCAACGCCTCGCCTTCCAAGAGGTAGAAACCCACACAAGGAAGCTTTTGGCGTATTTTGACCGTGTGGCGATAGCCCGAGGCATCCTGGATCCATCGTTCTTCTTTCGCGTGGTAGTACGATCCACCATCCTGCGCCATCGTTTCGACAGAAAGCAGGCAAACCTGCAACGCAGGGTGGTACAACGCAACCCGGGCACCCAAGTTATTGGGCTTGAGAATTCCGATTTTCGCAGGCTCTGAGCATTCGCCGTCAGCTGTTGTGAGACTCACGGTTTCTCCTGTAAAGCTCTCAAACATTGACTCATGCGGGAACATGTGGTGGGTAGCACCACTGTCCGTGATGACTTTCAAAACTCGAAGTCCATCCTTGGCTTTCGGCTGCTGCACGAAGTGCGCGCGCGCGTGCCTGGAGGAGTTAAGGACGTTCGGAAGACTCGTATACGCGGCACAACCGGCGGCATACGAGGGAAGTCGTAGCAACCTCCTGGAATTCAATTTCTTGAAAGAATTCCGGGGGAGTGAGATTCCGAATTTCTTCAAAATCTTGGGGGGGCAGGGACCGAAAAGATTCCAGATTTGCATCGCAGCTATCACAAGACACGATGAAAATCGGTAGATTGGACTTCCAATCACGAGGGTGGGGCAGTTCAAAAACGTAAAACACACAAACACGAAGAACCACAAAACCGACAGAAGCAGAGCGAGCAGAACACTGGCCAAGTAAAAATTGACAGTTTTTAGGTGCGGAGAACGCACACAGAGCGGAGAACGCTCGCAGTATACCTGGTTAACACTGTTCTTGTTTTGCTGTGGTTGACGCGTTTCGTAGAACTTACGAACTAGTTCAGCCAATTCTCCTGCAAGAGTGTAAGGCAACTCGATCGCCTTTCTCGCATAGTTCTCATCGGTGGCCATCCGATGCTCGTGCTCGCGCACAAACATGGGCAGGGTATCCGACAAGCCCCAAGGCGTGTTTTTCTTCTTTCCCACCGTGACGCCGTTGGTGATCCCAATCAGCTCCGGAAGCTGGACGGGGGCGGTCGCGGTCTTCTTTTCGGCGGTGTGGACGACAACAGCGGCGGCGCTGTTGGTGTTTGCCTTCTTGGTGTTGCTCGCGGTCGTCTGCTCCTGGGATTCCGAGGAGGAGAGCAGGGAGGCAACAGAAGACAAAGAACCCGACCGGGCGCGCGGGCGCTTGTTGGTGGTTTCGTCCTCGGCGGTGACCTGCAGCGGGAAAACGCGCGCGCAGTTCGCTCCTGCCTTCTTGTTCTTACCGGTGCCGGGCGGGGTTCCGCTCGCGGTCTTCTTCGCGTCGGCGGCCTTCTTATTGCGGCACTCGCTCACGTCGTGGCCCTTGTGCCGGCAAAATTGGCAGCGCTTAGCCTTCTGGGTGTCCTCCGGCTTCTGCGTTTTGCCTTTGCCTTTGTTGGCGATCGCCTTAACGCTTGCCAACTCCTTCCGCAATTTTTCCTGGCTCTTCTCCAAGGCGACAACCTTGGCGCTGTTGGCCTTGCTGTCTTCGGTCTTGGTTTCGCCGGCAACGCGCTGGAACTCGCGGAGAGTGGTGGTAATGCGATCGGCGTCGGTCACCTCGTTGGCCATGAGCGTGGCAACGGTCGGGGCGAAGTTGTCGGGAAGTCCGGACAAAATGCAGCCGGCTAAGAACTCAGGCAGCAAAATTTTTCCGCCAAGCTTCTCGCGGAAGACAGCGCGCACGCGGTTAGCGTATTCGTCCGCAAACTCGCCGGGGTTCATCCGCATGCGGATAAGTTCCACGACAGCAGCGAAGCGGGTGGCCATCTTCTGACTGGCGTACTTATTTTCGAGCGCCCAAACCATGCGAAGCAGGTGCGTAGGCTGCGGGCCGGTGATCGCGCGCAAAATTTGGTGGGGGTCCGGTCCACAACTTTGCGAAATCATGGCGGCGAGCGGTTTCGCGGTCCAGCTGTTCCAACTGGGAGCGGTTTCGATTTTCGCCAAGGCGGTCGGGATATCCGTGCCGCTAGCGATATCCTTCCGGTAATCCGCATAAAGTTCGGCCCAATCCTTCCAGGCTGTACCAGCTCCCGAGGACGGGGCGGAGGAAGAAGAGGAGGCGCCGACGGCGGTGGAGGTCGGGGGCGGGTTGCGCGGGTACCCTTCCAAGATGCGGAAGAGGTCAAAACTCCAGCGCGCCCAATCTTCCGCCGCCTCCAACTTCGTGGCCATCTTCGGCGGGGGATCCTTCTCGTTGCCGGTGGCCATGTTTGTGGTTCCTAGTTTTTCGAAATTTTTCAAAGTCTAAAACTAGGCGCGTCCAAGTGTAAAACTCAAGGGGATAAACAAAAAAATTATAACTAAACCCGGGGGGTTTAGCTCTCTAAGCACAGGGCTCAAGATTGTTAGAACACTAATACCACCATGTAGGGCGGTGTACACCCTACAGCACTAGTATCCACGTAACTGT